ACCTGGGACCTTCAGTCCACAGGCTGACGCTCTATCCACTGAGCCAAACCGGTCTTGGAGACATCTAACCTTTTTCATCATTAATGTAAAACAATAGTTTCAGAGGAAGAATGTAATTCTTTAATAAATATTGACATTTTAATATAAAACTGCTATGTTACCCCTTTAAATATATTGAATAAAACTCGAATCCCAAAGTCATTTGATGCTCACCATTATCCATCTTAAAAATAACATGAACAGCCCTACCTGGTTTGGCTCAGTGGATAGAGTGTCAGCCTGTGGACTGAAGGGTCCTAGGTTTGATTCTGATCAAGGGCACAACCCCAGTAGGAGGCATGCAGGAGGCAGCTGATCAATGATTCTCACTCAACACTGATATTTCTCTCTCTCCCTTTCCCTTCCTCTCAGAAATCAATAAAAATATATATTTTTAAAAATAGCTGGGGGGGTAATGGTAAGATATGTACACATATAAATACCTTAATAAAAAAAGAAAAAGAAAAAAATAGCGTGAACAAGCTTTTCTTTAGCAATGAAAACATTTTACATTGTTTCTTTTTCTCCTTGTACTTGTATTTCCATTCCTCTTTCCCCTCAACAATCTGCAGGGGCCTGATGCGGTGGGGTCCAGGCATGGCGGGGATCTCCCTTTTCCGTGTCCCCCAAGGAAAGATAGATGAATGAACCGGTTCTAAGTGGAGGCGGACAGGGATTGAGAAATATTATAAGTAAAGAGAAGACACAGAAATAGATTTAAAACTGGGAGCTGGGTGGGCCGCCATCTTGTCTGCTGGAGAGGCAGGAAGATGATGATGATGACCCCACCCAGCGCATTTATTTTATACCCCAACACCAGGAAGTAACACCAACTTATTTGCATTCTTAAGGAGGTCCTAGCATCCCTGGATTTACATATCTAGTCCCGCCCCTCCCAACACCTGGGCTTGATATGAAGGCCAAGCTGATTACACTTTACACCATCTTGGAACATGCTCTGCCGGTTGTCTCCAACTCAGCTGACAATTTAAAGGAAAATGCCCACGTGCCTTCCCAGGTGGCCCTCTACACAGTCTAATGTCAATGTAACATTTTATGCTTGAAAGTCTTTTATTGATCACAATATCATACATCTCTGCAACCAAAGTATGTATATAAGTTAAAGCTTTAAAAGAACTTAAGTTTTATGTAACTATAAAGCTCTAGATGGGAAATTTTTTTTCTGGTTTGAGTGGCCATCAGAAATATTAGTAGTACTCAGTTGAGCAAAACAACATAAATATTATGATTTTTATACATATTAAACATAAACACAAAAATGCCCTGGAAATGTATCTATCATGGACTACTTCCCTCATCCCCTCGCTCAGGTCGTTCAGATGTTCATAGTTGAAAATTATTTGTTAGAATGAGACTGAAATCAGCATCAATTCTAGTTCCTTTTTTTTTTTTTTTTTTTTTTCATTTTAAAGCTGAGAAACTTTGTTCACTTGATAAGTAGATGGGAAGTGGGAGTTTGATTTAGCAATGGCATCTACTTCTGAGTTGTCTCCCCGCGAACCACCCCCCCCCAACACACACACACACACACACACACACACACACACACATACACACACACACACAAAAACACATAAAGATCTATGATAAAAAAAAATATATTGTTAATAATTCTTCAGGGTTTCGAAAGCAAAGATCCTGCCTTAAAAACCAAAAGAATTTCTTGTCCAGTTTTTAAGCCACCCACTTTCTCAGCACCTACAGCCCTGCACTAGCATTTCAAATAGGAGCTTTGTTTGGTGCTCCAGGAATTCCACCCTTTGGGGTAGTCCACCACGGAAAGACAGCGGGTGGGGAATGGTGAGCCTTGCTCCTGAAAGTAGGAAAGGTGGAATTGCGAGAGAGGAAAGACTTTGGGTAAACAGAACTTGGAAGTTGACCCTCTGCAAGTTGATTTCTTTAAAAAAAAAAAAAAAAAGATTTTATTTTATTTCAGAGAGGAAGGGAGAGGGAGAGAGAGAGAGAAACATTAATGGTGAGGGACAATCACTGATTGGCTGCCTCCTGCTTGCCTCCCACTGGGGATTGAGCCCGGGGCCCAGGCATGTGCCCTGACCGGGAATCGAAACATGACTTCCTGGTTCATAAGTTGATGCTCAACCACTGAGCTACGTCAGCCAGACAGCAAATTGATTTTCTTTTTCTTTTTTTAAGGGTGTCAACCCTTTATTTATTTATTTATTTATTTATTTATTTATTTATTTTAATATATTTTATTGATTTTTTACAGAGAGGAAGAGAGAGGGATAGAGAGTTAGAAACATGGATGAGAGAAACACCCATCAGCTGCCTCCTGCACACCCCCTACTGGGGATGTGCCTGCAACCCAAGGTACATGCCCTTGACTGGAATCGAACCCGGGACCCTTCAGTCCAAAGGCCGACGCTCTATCCACTGAGCCAAACCGGTTTCAGCGCAAATTGATTTTCTTAAAACTCCTTGTACCCTAGAGATACCCACACCCATAGAGGACCACTAATTCTCCCATCCAACACCAGAATGCAGAGTTCCTGTGCCCATAAATGTGGTGTGCCACTTTCTGCGTGTATTGTTCCTGTTTTCCTGCTCTCCTTTCTTATGTATTAAACATTTTAAGGACCATCTTGAATCTCAGCTCCTACCTAATTCCCCTTTTCCTGAATCCCTACCACACTTAAGGGATTAATTGATTTCAGATAGAAAGGGAGAAGAAGAGAGAGAAACATCAATGATGAGAATGATGAGAGAGAATCATTGATCGGCTGCCTCCTACATGCCTCCTACTGGGGGTTGAGCCTGCGAGTCTGCAACTGGGCATGTGCCCTTGACTGGAATCGAACTGGGACCCTTCAGTCCACATGCTGACGCTCTGTCCACTGAGAAAAACCAGCTAGGAGTTCGAATTTCTCTTCCCACCCCTGAAATATGCATCATATTATACCGGCAGCTTTGTTTCATGACACTTTAGATTATAACGAGGCTCTTTGCAACAGAATTTGATGTACTTGCAAAAGACATGAACTTTGATACCAGACAAGCACGTAAGTTCCAGGAGGGCACAGGTTCTATGTTTTGTTCTGTGTCATGTAGCCAGCATCTAGCACAATATCTGGCATATAGTAAAAGCTTAATTGTTGAATAAATGAACACACTTGAGTTTGAATCTTACTTCATCCCTTTTATAATGTGTGACACCCAGTCATTAACTTTAGGATAAGTTTACTCACGAATTCATTTTTAAAAACATCTGTTGCATGCTTCCAGAGAGCCAAGCACACTGTGCTAGGCACCGGGGACCTGCAGGGAAGAAGATGCGGCCCTGTCCTCCAGGAACTCAAGCCTCTAGTTTGGGACTGTTACGTGAAGTAAGGTGGAAAGAACAGCCCATGCGCATGCCCAGAGGAATGAAGAGAAGAAAGCTGCTAGTAGATCCATAAGACAGAGGCACAGGATGTCCTCCTGGGCCAGACGCTTCCAGGCCTGGCATGCCCATGGAATTTATGGGAATGTGAACTTGACTGTCCAGGCTACCACTGAGAGACTGGAAAGTGGGAAGAGTCCAGAACAGATATGCATTTTAAAAAGCTCATTCAGGCAGCTCTGGGGAGAAAAGTAAGCAAGAAGACCCAGTTACTGCTCTTATCCAGTTGGAAGATGATAAGGGCCAGAGTAAGGCACTGGCCACGAAACATGGCCCCAAGAGGAGAGATAGAATTGACCAAGAAAAGCCAATCAATTGGACTTAGAGACTGATTAGATATGGGGCAAGATGGAGGAGTCAAAATGAGCATGCAGGCAGGAGATCAGAGGCCATGGGGATAGAGGAGGAAGAGTATAAGGAGAGAGAATCTACTGGATTTGATGATGGGTTGTGCATGAGATGGGCAGGAAGGAAGGAGCAAGTCATCCTATATTCCTAAATCTCTGTCTTAGGATAATAAGGTCTGTGAATCGGGTAATATGAAAAGACCCTGGTGGGTAGCTCAATTGGTTAGAGCATCGTCCCAATACACCAGGGTTGTAGGTTTGATCCACAATCAAGGCACATACAAGAATCAACCAATGAGTGCATAAATAAGTGGAACAACAAATTGATGTTTTTTTCTCTCCCACTCTAAAAATATATATATATAAATCAGTAAACTGATAATATGGGAAGAGAAGCAAATTTGGAAGGCTTTGGACAAGTTACTTGACCTTTCTGAGACTGAATTTCTTCACATGCAAAACAAGAATAATGACATCTATCTCTCAGAGTTGCCATGAGGACTAAGTAACCTGGGAAATTGCAGGACATAGTATAGATCGGTGCTCAATAAACACTTTGGGTGACACTAACAACGGTTCTTGCATATGTGCCAAGCACTTAATCCTCACAACAACCCAGTAAGGTAGGTACTATTATTATCCCTATCTTACTAACCTGGGAACCAAAGCACAGAGAGGTACAGAAATTTGGCCAAAGTCAGCCAGTTAGTAGGTGGCAGAGTATACTTTCCTAGCCCCTGTTCTATATACCGTATTCTTTCTTGGACCTAGTACTAGGCTTGAGGGAGGAAGAGAGGAAATGGCAGGAAGAATGGTCAGCAGACCTGATCAATAATTCACTCCAAGAACAGTTTTTATTTGGAAATGTGCTTCCACAGCTTGGTGGCAGTCTGGGGCAGATGGCCCCTGGCTTGCTTGTTTACCCTTTTCCAGCCAAGGGCATAGGATCCTTGGGGTTAAGGCACCGAATCAAGTTCTTAAGGATCAGCATCCCAGGCAGCCTTAGTGGCCTGGGGCCTGGGGCTGATGAAAAAATAAACTAGGTTCCCACCCGGATTGTGTCATGGCTGGAGGGTCTCGGCCCTGACACCAGGTCCTCGGCTCCCTCTGTCGCAGGGGCCAGCGTCACCCACAGGCCAGCTGTGGCCAGGTCCTGGTGGGCATGAGATTGGGGGGAAAGAGGCTAGCAGAGGCTAGTTTTCTGGTTCCGGGTCCTGTTTGTCTTCCCGAGGGGCGGAAGCCGAGATGGGAGCCTCGTCCCCGCCGTTGAGGGACTTCTGCCGCTCACTGGAGCTGGGGGAGGTGGTCCTGCTGCCCTGGGACCCCCAGCGGGTCAGGCGCTTCAGGGAGGAGTCGCGGCGGGCCAGGAGCGGGGGCTGGAAGCCTGTGAAGGAGCTGCTGGTGGTGGGACGCTTGTCTGGCAGGGAAAAGGCAGGCGTGAGGCGGGAGGAAGGTACTGCGAAAGGGAGCGGTTGACAGGCCTGGCCTCAGCCCTGGGGGAAGAGGACCTCTGGCCTTCAGCCCGGCAGGCTCTGTAGATCAGGAGGTACCCCTCGCCCTCCCTTTACCCTCCCTTTGCCTCCAGGGAGAGCTCCAAGGTCTAGCCCGCTCTCACCTCCAGGTTCAATCGGATGCATGAGCCTGTTCATCTGGACATTCCAGTGTTTCACGTTGGTGCTCGCCTGGCGCAACTTCCGCTGGGCGGCCTGTGGGACACAGCCGGTGGGGAGCGGGTCAGAGCCCCTATCCAAGGCAGGCTGCCTTGACCTTGGTAGGTGCACAGGCCCCATAGGATGTGACCAAGGCTGCTGATCAGCTCCTCAGGAAACTCACGCATATTCAGAGTTATGTATATAACTCTGCCAACCCGGTTAGGGCTAGCTGCTATTTTTATCATTACTCTTAATTTAGGCAAAAATTTTCCTCCTGCTCTTCCAACATCCTATTTTGCTATCCCTGTATTTTGCATCCTCTCCTTAGTTGTAGGCACATCCCCAACGGGGGGTGTGCAGGAAGCAGCTGATTGATATTTCTCTCTCACTGATGTGTCTAACTCTCTTTTCCTCTCCCTTCCTTTCTGAAAAAAAGTTAATAACATGTATTTTTTAAAAATAGCAGCTAATGTTTCTTCAGCCCTTACTACGTATGAAATACCACCTATTATCTCATTCAGTCTCATAGCAATGCTATTCCAGGCCCCGTTCCCCAGTGAGGGACTTGAACTCAGAGAGGTCAGGCCATTCTCCAAGGTCACAGCCAGAGGAGGACAGAACCAGGGTTGGAGGAAAGGCGGGACCTGAGGTTACCGCTCTCCTTCCCTCCCTCCGTCACTCGATCAGTCTCTGCCAGTCACCCTGTCCCTCCGCAGGCCTCACCTCCACGTCCTCATCCGCCCGCTGCCGGTTCTGCCGCACCTCCTCCAGCTGCTGCTGGGCCAGCTGCAGGGAGCGGCTCTGCTGGGCCATCTCCTGCTGCAGCTCTTGCTTCTCCTGCTGCGCCTGCTCGATGTAGCGCTCCTGGTCCTCCTTCAGCCGCAGCAGCCGCTTCAGCTTCTCCTCCTCCTCCTCCAGCAGCCTGCCGGCGGCGGGCGCACTGAGTCTCCAGAGCCCAGGCACCCGGTAGGCGCCCAGGACGGCGGGAAGCAGGGGAGGGGAGGCGGAGGGGTCCCTCAGGCTTACCTGGTCTGGGCCAGGCGCACGGCCTCCTCGTCCCGCCGAGCTTTCACCTCCAGTTGCAGAGCCTCCTGGAGCCTCTGCTGCATGTCCTCCAGCTCCTCGATGCGCTGCCGCTGCCGGGCAGCCTCCTCCTCCTTCAGCTCCATCTCAGCCTGCATGGACGCCCGGGCCTGCGGGGCGCAGAGCCGGGCAATGGGCACAGGGCAGGGAGGCGGCGGGCACGCCCTTTCCCCAGAGTTCTGCTAGGCTGGCCCCACTAGTTATCTCCAAGTGAGGGTTTGGGGAGTTCCTGGTTCTGGGTCCAGTTCTGGGTCCAGTTCTGTGTCCATGTCAGGCTCTCCTGACCTGATCCCTTTCTGAGAGACTGGCCATCCAGAGGACCATCAGCGAGCTGATGCTGCAAGGGGAGAGGGGCCCAAGGCACCCCTGCCCAGCACCAGCCTTACTAATTACTACTGTATGTGATAACATAATGTGTTATAATTAAGGCCAGTGCTGGGGAGGGAGTGACTATAATTAGAATACTTGTTATAACAGCTGTTTCCGCATTTGACCCTCACCATACCCCTGCAGCCACACCCCACTGATAGGTCACTGAGGGACAGAGAGGCTGGGTACCTTGCGGGAGCTCCCAGGGCTCTGAAGAGGCAGCGCTGGGAATGAATGCACGTGCCTCACTCTAGATCTCTTAACCCCTAACTCTAATTGCCTCTGAGTACGCCCCCACTTCCAGCCCCCCTTCCTCTCATCCTGAATTCCCCAAATTGGTTTCATTGTAACCTCAGATCAGGTCTAGTGTAATCTGTTCCAACCTGAATCCACGTTCATCCCTAATGGTCTTTAGCGGCTCCGGCCCCACCCATCCGTTGGCTCAAGCCCCACCTCACACCTTCCCTTCCCGTAAGCCACCCCGCTGCCAGTTTCCTCCACCCCAACCCAGTCGTATGCCTCACAGGCCCCGCCCACTCCTAGCCCCGCCCGGGCCCCGCCCCCAGCGGCCTCACCTGCTCGGCCTCGCGCAGCTGGCCCTCCAGAGCCTGCTGCAGCTCGTGGTGCTGGCTGCGGCGCCGCTCCTCCTCCTCCTGCAGCAGGCGCTCCGCCTGCCGCTGCGCCTCCTGCAGCAGCTCCAGCTCCTGCAGCTTCCGCTCCTTCTCCTCCTGCAGCTGCTGCAACCGCAGCAGCTCCTCCTCCTTGGCGGCCCGGCGCCGCTCCCGCTGCTCCCGCTGCTCCCGCCGCTTCTGCTTCAGGTCCTTGTGCAGCGACGTCTTCCCCTCGGCCTGCAGCCGGATGGCCATCTGAATGGCTGCGAAGGGAGCGGGAGGGATCAGCGGGCGGCTGGCCCGCCGCTGGGCAAAGTGTCATTGCCCGCTTACACAGGTGGGCGTCTGAGGCCCGCCAGGCCCCGGTCACCCGTGAGCAGCTCACCAGCCGTCCACTCCTGGCGCTGGCGCGTGTCCGAGGCGCTCATCTCGTATGTGCGGGAGGCCGTCTTCACGCAGAACATGCAGCGCTTCCCCTCGCGGTCAGGCAGCACCTGGGAGAGGACAGGTGTCCAGGCAGGCTGGCCTCACTGAGGTCAGGGCCACACCCGCCCTGCCCCAGGGGCGCTCCAGCCCCAGCTCCAGCCCTACCCCTCCTGGCTGACCATCTTCCCTGGCCGCCCTCCCACCGTTTGCCAGGAGCCTGTGTGCTCGGCTTGGAGTTAGTTCTGGGGCTGCGTGTGTCCTCACAGCTCTTGCAGGCTTTGCTCTTTGAAGGCGGAGTGGGCTGTTTCCATCTTGGTAGCTCCCCTCAGGGCCTAGATCTAGTCTCGCTCAGTGTTCATGCAGATCATGCTTGAACACCTCCGGTGACCGGGTCCTCACTATCCAGAATGTTCTCCATTCAGCCATTTCACAGATATTTTGGAGGGTCTACTGAGTGCCACTCATTGTTCAGGCATGTGGGATACTGAGGTGTGCCTCACAGACCAAATCTCTCCCTGCCTTCCCTAAGCTGCACTCCAGTGGAAAATAATAGTTACCATGTTTTGAGCTTCTTACGTTGTAGGGTCTGTACTCGTGTTTTATATGCATCATTTTACTCACTCCTCCCAGACAGCCTTTAACACTCCTCCCAGGCCTCTTCACTTTACAGAGGAAGAAACCGAGGCTCTGAGAGGCCCGCAACTTGCCCAATTCACACGGCCTGTTAGCGGTGGAGTTGGGATTTTTGCCTAGATCTGTGTTCTTTCCACAGTGACACCTATTTCCTCATTTGGCAAACATGGACAGAGCCTAGAGTGGCTATAATAACTTTTTAAAATGTAAAATAGCAAGTGTTGGTGAGGATGTGGAGAAACTGGAACCCTCATACACTGCCGGTAAGCAGGTGCAGCCACTATGGGAAACAGTTTATACCTCTAAAAGTTAAATAGAATAACCCTATGATCCAGCAATGCTACTCCTAGGTTTGTACTCAGAGAAATGAAAACACATCTCCCCGCAGAAATTTGTACACAGATATTCATAACAGCATTATTCACAACCAGAGGCCTGGTGCATGAAAACTTGTGCACCGAGGGGTGGGGGTGAGGGGCGGGCATTCCTCAGCCTGGTCTGTGCCCTCGTTCCAGTCCAGGACCCCTCAGGGGATGTCCTCCTGCCAGATATCCTTAGCACAGCCATCAGCCCAGCTTGTGGCTGAGCAGCACTCCCCCTGTGGAAGCACCCTGACCAGCAGGGGGCAGCTCCTGCATTGTGTCTGCCCCCTGGTGGTCAGTGCACATCATAGCAACCAGTCGTTCCCGGTCGTTCGGCCATTAGGGTCATTATACATATTATCCTTTAATTATATAGGATAGCAAACAGATGGCAATCCAATGGCTATCTATAATAATAAAAGGGTAATATGGTAATTAGACCAGACAGCTGAATGACCTTCTGGACATCCAGGCATCCTTCCTGACAAAGCCAGGGCCCGAGGGAAGCTGCCTGGGGCCCTGGGAACCTGCCAGCGGCTGGAGCAGGGAAGCCTCGGTCCTGGGTGCCAGAGGAAAGCTGTGCTGGCAGCCAGGGTGAGGAAGGCCTACTCTTGAATGAGTTTTTGTGCATCGGGCCTCTAGTCCAAGATAATAAAAGCCTAATGTGCTATGTCTCTGGTCGTTCATTTATCCGTTCGACCAATCAAAGCATAATATGCTAATGATATGCTAAGGCTGATCAACTATGATGCATACTGACCACCAGGGGGCAGACGCTCCAACTGATAGGTTAGCTTGCTGCTGGGGTCTGAGCAAGAAAGGCTGACCCCACCCACAATCCACTCCCAACACCTCAACCAGGGGCAGGGTTAGATAGCCAATTGCCTGTGGCACCTCCCCTCATCCAGACCCCACCCATGCTCAAATTCATGCACCAGGCCTCTAACCAACAAATAAATGGAGAAGCAAAATGTCGTATATCTACAATGGAATATAATTCAGCCATGAAAAGGAATGAATTCCTGATCCATGCCACAACATGATGAACCTTGGAAACATTATGCTGAGAGAAATAAGCCAGACACACAGAAAACCAATATTGTACTATTCCACTTATATGAGGTGCCTAGAATACTTATTCATGGAGACAAAGGAGGGCTGGTGAGGATGAGTTATTGCTTAATGGGTACAGAATTTCTATTTGGGATGATGGAAAAGTTTTGGAAATAGATGGTGGTGATGGCTACACAACACTGCGACTCTATTTAATGGCACTGAATTATACACTTAAAATGGTTGAAATTATACATATATTTACATATACTTTTTATACATATATTTTTTACTATTAAAAAACTTTCTGTGCCTGGCAGGCATGACTCAGTGGGCATTGACCTATGAGCCAGGAGGTCCCGGTTCGATTCCTGGTTAGGCACATGCCTCGGTTGTGGGCTCAGTTCCTAGTGTGGGATCTACAGGAGGCAGCCAATCATTGATTTTTTTAAAAAAAAATATTTTTATTGATTTTTCACAGAGAGGAAGAGAGAGGGATAGAAAGTTAGAAACATCGATGCGAGAGAATCATTGAACAGCTGCCTCTTGCACACCCCCTACTGGGGATGTACCTGTAACTAAGGTACATGCCCTTGACCGGAATCGAACCCGGGACCTTTCAGTCCGCAGGCTGACGCTCTATCCACTGAGCCAAACCGGTCCCGGCCAATCATTGATGTTTTTATCTCGCTCCCCTCCCTTCCTCTCTGAAATCAATAAATATTTTTATCATTATTTAAAAACCAAACCAACCAACAGAAACTTTTTACTTTAAGCCTCTATAACAAACATGTCAAACTCGTGGCCCACAGGCCTTATGTGGCCCACAATGAAAATTTGCGACTCAGTCAATATAATGGTATGTAATAAATGTTTTAATAAAAACTTTGTTACTTAATTTTTATAATATCCTGTTATACATAATCTTTATATATAAAAGCCTATCCCTGGCTGGTTTGGCTCAGTGGATAGAGCATTGGCCTGCGGACTAAAGGGTCTCAGGTTCGATCCCAGTAAAGGCACATGCCTGGGGTTGCAGGCTCGATCCTCAGTAGGGGGCAAGCAGGAGGCAGCTGATCAATAATTCTCTCTCATCATTGATGTTTCTATCTCTCTCTCCTTCTCCCTTACTCTCTGAAATCAATAAAAATACATGATAAATAAATAAATAAATAAATAAATAAATAAATGCCTAAACAACTGTTACAGCTGATCTACTGAATGGCCAGTCAACTAGTTGCTATGATACACACTGACCACCAGGCGGCAGATGTTCAACACAGGGGATGCCCCCTGGTGGTCAGTGTACTTCCACAGCCAACCATTTATGGCGGGCCAACCTCCTGCGGTCTCTCTCTTTGGCTGGCCAGCCCCAATCGGCCCCAATTGGGAGAGATAGCCCCTATCAGCCCTCACTGCTGATCAGGCGGAGGGACCCCACTCATGCACGAATTCGTGCACTGGGCCTCTAGTTATTAATAACGAACTACAATGTTTGCTAATGACTGATTACTATAAACGTGTTGCATTCATTTCCCTTACGTGACTTATGCACAGGCACACCACTTCTCTCCACTAATACCAGCAGCGAATATTTTAGCAGCCAATTTCCACGTCATTAGTCTTGGACTGACTTGTTTGGTATGCGCAACAGGAAATATTTTTGCTTTCGAAGAACAAGAGAAATTGGTTTATTTGCGTTACGCTTATTAATTTGTGTAGTTATTCAGTGTCTGGTAAGTTAATGTTCAAGAAAAAATTTTTATGAAAATGTTCTATTATTTTATGTTAATGATGACTCATTTATTTCAGCCCTTGGTATTCAGAATGTCTCTATTGAAATAAACCCACGTTTCTATGAAAACTAAAGCTTTTGTTTTTTGCAGCCCACAGAAACTCACACCTTCTTATGGCCCGTGTTAGCTCTTGAGTTTGACGTGCTTGTTCTAAAATAGCAATGGACAGAGCCGAGGGAGGCGAAGGGAGAGGAAGGGGAAAGGAGAGGAGTGAGGAGACAGGACAAGGAGGTGAAGAGTTGCCAAAGGGAATGGACTTCGGGTGAAGGAGAAAGACCTTTAAAGGGAATTTTGAGGTTTTGCTGGGTAGTGTGAGACATAAGCTGTCTCCTCTGAAATCTTTAGCAAAACCCACATTATTTACCAATGGCTTTGCAGGTTTAAAATATATATATTTATGTATTTTTTAAATATATATTTTTATTGATTTCAAAAAGGAAGGGAGAGGGGGAGAGAGATAGAGAGAAACATTAATGATGAGAGAGAATCATTGATCCGCTGCCTCCTGCACACTCCCTACTAAGGATGGAGCCCGCAACCTGGGAATGTGCCCCCCGCCTCCCCGATGGGAATCAAACCGGGACCATTCAGTTTGAAGGCCATCACTCTATCCACTGTGCCAAACCAGCTAAGGGTAAAAATATATTTTTATTGATTTCAGAAAGGAAGAGAGAGGGAGAGAGAGAGAGAGAAATATGGATGAGAGAGACACTTTGACGGGCTGCCTCCTGCACTCGCCATACTGGGTATTGAGCCCGCAACCCGAGTATATTTGGGTTACCCGCATCTAAGCAGAAATTGCCACTGGCTTTTCTCCACTCACCCTCCTCCGGAGCCTCTTGCCCTCACACCCCCCGGAAGGCCTTGTGGGCCCTGAGGTGTGAGCCAGCCCTTCCCCGGGCCCCTCACCTCCACACAGCACTGCCCGTCCAGGGGGATGGTGCCCCTTTTCTCCTTGCACTCCTCGCTCCCAAAGTAGCAGAGGCAGCTGGGCTGCAGCTGGAACCAGCGCTCCGCCCAGTTCCTCCGCAGGTGGCCGCGCTTCCACAGGTAGCCCTGCCAGACAGGGCAAGGTCAGAGGCCTCCCGGCCCCCCTTCACTCCTCCTGGGCTCCTCCCCGGCTGCCAGCTCGGCCTGACCTGCTTCAGGACATCCTGGATGAGCTCCTGGTAGACCTCGTGGATGGCCATGCTGAGGGTGTCCCGCCCCACGCCGCGGAGGCAGCGGCCCGAGTTGAAGAGCTCCAGGAACTGCCAGACGCTGAGCCCCCCGCTGCTCTGGGCTGCCTGGGCCTCCGGGGCCAGCAGCTCCTCCAGCTCCGCCAGGCTCACCTCCAAGCTCATGCTGCTGAGCACCTTCTTCAGCAGGTACTCCACCTGCAGGGGAGAGGCCTGCTGACTGCCCGGGCAGGGCTGCCGGTGCCAACACGAGGGGGCGCTCCCCACCGGGCTCCCTGGGCCTGGGCAGAGGTGACCAGGAACAGGGGTGGGAGAGGGGGCAGAGAACTAAACCGGTGGACCAGGGGAGAGATTTGGAAGGGGATCCTGGAGTCCCAACGCCAAGTCAGGCATCCATTCCCTTTCCCCAACTTACAGTCCCAGCCCTTCCTGCCTGAAACTAAGGGCAGGCGAGGGTCGGCGCTGTGGGCTAGGCAGGGGCTAGGTGGGGGCTAGGCAGGGGCTGGGCAGAGGCAGCAGGTCACAGAATATATCAGAAGGGGTGCAACCCAATACCCTCACTGAACAGATGACAAAACTGGGGCCCCGAAGGGGGAAGTGACTTGTTCTAAATCGCACAGCAAGTTGGTGGCAGCCAAATCTTGACTGGGATCTCCCAAATCCCATGTGAGCCCTCTTCCGAGCCCTGGCCCTGGGGACCCTCCCTTCTGGGAGGGCGCGGGGCCTGGCGGTGGGGGAAAGCGGGGCAGGGACAGGAAACCTGTTGGGGAGGAACCGGAAGTGGTGGTTGGGGTACATCCTGCTGCAGTTGGTTCCCACTGCGCCGATCACAGCAGAAAGCAGCCTCTGGGAGGCCCTGCCCTGACTGGCAGGGTCTGGCAAGGCTGCCATCCCCGGGGTCTGTAGATGGACACAGGTCCCTCTCCTGCCCCAGCAGCTTCAGGGGAAACCCCGGGCCTCAGCGGGGACTGGGGTGGGGTGCGCCAGTTCAAGGCTCAGGTGGCTCCCCTAGGTGTTCTCACAAACAGAAGCAAGGAGACAAATCTGAGGGCAGTCAGACCTGTGAGTGCTTCTTGTAAATACGAGGACCCCTCCCTGTCTGCCCTCATCTAAAGACGTAAGTTCACCCCGACATCCTCACAGCCAGGAGGGCTTAATGGGCTGAAGAAGGCTGAGCAGATGGAGAGGGTGGAGGGCAGAGGGCGGCAGGCTGACTGGAGGAGGGGGCCGTGCCCTGGATCTCTCTGGTGAGCTGAGGAGGGAGGGTGGATTCCTGGCCTCTACTCCCAGGAGCCGCCCTGGTCCTGAGCCTGCCCTGCTCTCCCTGTGCTGTGGCCGGAGGGAGAATCTGGGGCCAGGTCAGACTCAGTTGTCTGCCTGGAGTAACTGAGAAAGGTCCTAGAAAGCTCTCCTTCCCCTCCTAGTGCACCTTCTCCAAGGCCACGTGCCTCAAATCCTCCCTCTGATCTTCAGTGCTTCTGTTTGTAAGTGCCCAGTCATGTACCCGGCATTCACACCTCTGTGTAAATAGAGTTGCAGGCCATTTTCCTGCTGTGAGGCCAGCAGGGCCTGAGGTTTTGCTTCTCCTGGGAGAAGGCACAGGTGTTCTGACAGGGGCTTGGGGTGCCTGCAGTGGCGGGGTGGAGAACACAGAGAGGAAAGGGGATGTGGCAAAGTACAAAGGACATTGGGCTTCCTTCACGGTTTGGCCTCAACTGGGGCAGTCCCTGGGGCTGCCATCACCCTCACCTCATCGGGAACCATGATCAGGGGGTACTTGTCCTCAGACAGGAAGTTGAAGAGGCACCAGAGGCGGAAGGCATCCTGATTGGAGAGCATGCTGTTCCCGTTGCTGTCCGCCCGGTAGTTCTTCTTGGCCGTCAGGGTCCAGCACAGCTCATCAAAGTGCTCCTTAACGAAAGCCCCCTCCTCCACCTGCCGCCAGGCCCGCAGGTCAGCCCAGGAGGCTGCCCTGGCCGGCTCTACCCCACTCCCGGCTGCAGCTGGCTTCTCAGATCATCTATTCTCCTGCTCCCCACCCAGCCAAGTCCCCCTCTAACTGAGGTATCCCTGAGCTGACTAGCAGCAGGTAACTAGCTGGTTCCAACCACCCTGCCCTTCTCCCCCCACCCCACATCCACATATCCGCCCCAGTTCCCTTAGCCCGGAGGAGAGAGAAGGAAGGCCCGGGGGATGGACAGTCAAGGAGAAGCTGAGAAGACAGCAACAGCTGGGAGGAGCAGGGGGGACGGCAGAGGGGGAGCCGGGGAGCTCTTTGTACAGGTTGCAGCCGGAAGCAGGAGGTGGGCCTTGGCAGGGATGGGGTGGGAAGGGTGGAGGCTAGGAGAGAGCTGAGGGAGACCGAAGGTGAGCTACAGGGGCATGGAGGGGTGAGCGGCTGGGAATGGAGGGTGAAAATGGAAGAGGTACAGAGGGAACAGAAGTGGGAGTTTATAGGGGAGGATATGTAATGGAGTGCTGGCTGGGAAGTGGGCCCACCTTGTCCAGGATGTACTTGTTGAGGTAGGGCATGTACCCCTGGCTAGACACTGGCCCATCGTCATCATCTCGGAAGTGCTCCTCCAGAGCCACAGGGTCGTGGGGGATGTGCAGGACCGTGTACAGGTTATGGGACAGCACCTGAGACAGAGGGGCACTTAGCCTTCCTGCACCCCAACCAAGCTGGGCCAACAGACAGCTCCCACCCTGTTCCCCTCCCCATCCTGGGTTAAGTCCTCTGCACTCATTATGCAATCCCATCATTACTGAAACACACACACACACACACACACACACACACGCACACACACATATAAAATGGAATATTATTCAGCCATAAAAAAGGATTTTGCCATTTGCCGCAACATGGATGCTAAGTGAAATAAGTCAGAGAAAAACAAATATGTCTAATCTAAATTATATGTAGAATCTAAAACAAAACAAAAGCCCTCATAGATTCATAGATTGGTGGTTGCCAGTGGCAGGTGGAGCGGGTGGAGAAAATGGGTGAAGGGGGTCAAAGTTACGAACTCCCAGCTATAAAACAATTCAGGTGATGACGGCAGTTAACACACTGTATTGCGTATTTGCAAGCCGCTAAGGGTCCATTTCCCCAGCAGGACGGAGGCTGGAATTGAGGAAAAGATCTACATGTCTCCAGGGCTTGGAGGAGACCAGATGCGTGGCCTTCTGGCCAGGCGCCTGCGATTGCACACTGTTGGAGCCATCGTTGTGTCCCGGGGGTATAGCTTTCTGTAAGTTTGCTGGGGAAGGGAGGGGTGGGGACCAAGAAAGAAGGCACGTGCGGATTCCTACAGGAACTGTAATCCCAGGGAAGGTTTTGAGGAGATGAAGAAGGCTGGCATCTTTCAGAGTGCGAAGGGATCTTGGAATGCAAAGAATTTCTTTGGGTTGGATTCCGTGGAAGCTTGTCACCGAGCTGTGTTCCTGAACTATGAGACGGGGGTATTTGAGCGAGGAATACTTCTCTTGATAAATAAACGATAAAGAAATAAAAAAAAGCCTGGCTAGCACGGCTCAGTGGTTGAGCATCCACTATGAACCAGGAGTCACGGTTCGATTCCCGGTCAGGGCATATCCCTGGGTTTCGAGCTTGATCCCCATGTGTGGGCTTGTGGGAGGCAGCTGATCAATGATTCTCTCTCATCATTGATGTTTCTTTCTCTCCCTCCGCATTTCCTCTCTGGAATAAATAAAAATATATTTAACAACAGCAAAAAACCCCCATAAGAACATAAAAATAAAATAAAACAAAAAGTTGCTAAGAGAGTAAATATTTAAAGTTTTCATCACAAGAAAAAACCTTTTTCGTAACTACACCTGGTGACAAATTTTCACTAGACTTATTGTGGTGATCATTTCCCAGTGCAGTTGACTTTTGAACCACGTGGGCTTAGGAACACCAATACCTTTACCTTCACCCCCACAAAGTAAAAAATCCAAGTATAGCTTTTGATTCCTCAAAAACTTAACTACAGCCCTGGCCCAGGGGTTGGAGTGCCGTCCTATACACTGGAGGGTTTCGGGTTCGAGTCTCAGTACAGGTTGTGGGTTTGAACCCCAGTTGGGGTACCTTTGGGAGGCAACAGATCGATGTTTCTCTCTCACAACAGTGTTTCTCTTTCCCTTCCTCTCTCTGAAATCAATTTTTTTTTAAAAAAAACATTAAAAAGCTTTTTTAAAAACGTAACTACAGTTGTCCCTTGGTCTCTGGGGGGATTGGTTCTGTGACCCCGCGGACACCCAGTCCATGGGTGCTGAAGTCCTTACTTCTCCTAGCCCAGCACCAGGCCTCCAGTGGCCTGGCTAGTGGAACCCCCACCACGGACTGAAAGGCCCACGGCTGGTTGAATGCAGCTGTGAAACCGGTGGATCGAGAAAGCTGAATGGATGTCTACTGAAACTGTCCATATGTAAGTGGACCCGTACAGCTCAAACCCATGCTCAAGGGTCTACTGTATGTACAGATGGTGAATCATTCCGTTGTACACCTGAAACTAATGCTAAAAGTCAATAAAACCTCAAAAAACAAGCGCAAAAACCCTAAAGCTTATATACTTACTCTGCACCAAAGCATTGAGCTAAACACTTCACATATATTTCACTTAACCTCATAATAACTATTCATATCCCCATTTTAGGGATTAAAAACAATACCCCCAGGACTGAGACAAGGTCAGAGCTGGGATCAACCCAGGCAGCCACGCTTTCAGCCACTGCGTAGGGAGGGGGTATGTCCTCTTTCAGACCAGGACACTGAGACCCGAGGTGCCACCAGCAGCAAGAGCCCGCCATTCACACAGCTCTGCAGACCCCAAAGCCCAAGAACGTCCTGCCCAGGGCAGAAGCCCGGCCTGATCGGTTCTCACCAAAGACTCTGTGTTTGGGTGTGTCCGCTGCCGTAGGCGGTGTGCGATTCCAGGCCCTGGCCTGCTAGGGATGGAAGGGAGCTGCAGAGGGCTCAGAGGAGCGTCCCGAAAATGCTCTGTGGGGGACAGACGTGGAGGACAAGGCCTAGAGGGCTGGAGGCCATGGCGATATGGAGGGGAAGCAGGGGTTGGTTAACAAACCCATCATATTAGAAGGGAGAGGTTGAAGTTTGAGCAAGGAAATCGAGGTGTGGGGAGATGCCTCGAGGTAATTCTGCTATAATACTTATCACACAGCATAAACGATTAGTCACTATGCACAGCTACTGTGTGCCAGCCACTGCATGAGATGCTCTCTCCTGCACACCATAGGCCGTCGGTAAAAGTTCTATCCCGCAGCTGACTCCACCATCTGGTAACCTTGAATCAGCTCTTCTGAGGCAGAGCTGGCAACATCTACACAGGGCATGCGTGCCCAGTCTTGGTTTCTCTATTCTCTTCTGTGTGAGGAGGGGAGAAAGAACTGAGACTTCTCCCCAATGTTCTCAGGCCTCTGGTTCAACTCAGCAAAGTGGGATGTTGATGGGGTCTCAGCAGAGTGGTCCCCACTCAACCCTCTTTCCCACACTCTTCAAATGATCTCACATGCCATCTTTGGTGTCACCGTCTCTTCTTCTAGAGGCCAGCAGGAGTTTCTTCCTCATGAACTCTGCCCCCCTCCCTATTTTGATAATAAAGACTTGATTTCCCTTTGAGAAGTACCTCTCCCCATTCTCAGTATCTGTTGCACCCCTAGCCCACCTGTCTGCAAAGGTGGGCACATCAAGGTCACTACGACTGCTTCAAAGAAGGGCACATGACCAAACTGGGCCAATGAGAATCTGCCCTAGGATTTTTGCTTCCTCTAGTGAAAAACAGGTATACTCTTTCCATGGAGTCGTTAAGTTAGGTGCAGCTGACATCTTTGTCCCATTGTGGGATGTGCCTGCGTAAGAATAAGGCCATCAGTGAAGAAAGCAGAATCAAGAGCTAAAGAGAGTCATCATTTCAGAATGTGATCCGGCCATGCCTGAGTCAGTGCTTAGAGTTCTGGTTAGGTGAGCCAGTGAAAAACACCTTCCTTTAGTTATCCTGAGTTGGGCTTCTATAATTTCATCCAGAAAAAACATGACTAATACATCTGTGATCACAGGACATCAATCCCCAGTCCAAGAAGTGCGCTGGCTCAATGCCACTTACAGCCCAGGGTGACTAACAAGAGAGAAAGATCCGCTTCTGGAGAGACACGCGTTACTCTAAGCGTTTTACAAAGTTCACCTGCTGCCTCCGTCTCTTCCTTCAAGTCTCTTCAAGCATCTCTTTAAGAGGCTCCCTGCACAGCCCAGCCAAACTCCAGCGGTGGCAGGGGAGAGGGCGGGGCCTTGGGCAAACTCCTTCCTCTCTGAGCCTAAGCTTCGGTGTCGGTAAAGCAGGGTCATGCTTGCCATGGGCTGTGAGGATGGAGTGCCAGGCTTAGGTGTGCAGGGAGCAAGTGGCAGTTTTGTTCCTGCATCGAAAGTGTAGTTTTTATTGTTGTTAATCCTCGCCAGAGGATCTTCTTTCCATTGATTTTTGTTATTTATTTATTTAAATTTATCTGTATTGTTGAGAGTATTACGGATGTCCCCTTTGTTTGTTTGCTTGTTTTTCCCATTGACCCCTCTACCACAAACTGCCCGCCCCTGTATTGTCTGTGTCTTTAGAGAGTGGAAGGGAGGAATGGAGGGAAAGAGAGAGAGAGAAACATCGATGTGAGACATATTGATTGGTTGCCTCCCACAGGCGCCATGAATGATTGAAATTGCACAGGCTGACACACTAACCACTTCACAATACCAGCCAGAGTGAAAGTGAGCTTTTTTACTGGACAAATTGACATAGAGGCACAGACTGGTCATATCAAGTCTGAGGAGGTTGTGAAGAAAAGGAGTGCTGGCTCAATGCCACTTACAGCCCAGGGTGACTAACAAGAGAGAAAGATCCGCTTCTGGAGAGACACGCATTACTCTAAGCGTTTTACAAAAGTCCACCTGCTGCCTCCGTCTCTTCCTTCAAGTCTCTTCAAGCATCTCTTTAAGAGGCTCCCTGCACAGCCCAGCCATGCCCTCCTGGTGAGGTGTGAATGGACAGTCTGTCTGGGGGCAAACTTAACAAGCAGCACAGCCCAGCATTTCCAATCATCCAGCCTACAGATGCTCCAGGGAACACAGCTCCATGCGGGAGAATGTCCACTGAGGCCTGTTTACAATGTGACGTGGAGACGGCCTGAGGCTCCTCAGGAGGGAAGGCACAGCGGGTGGTAGACCTGTGTATGCTCATAGGCAAGTGACTTAACTTCTCCCAGGCCTTCGCCTTCTCCGGAAGGGCCGTGGGGGCCTGCTCCACAGGATTTTTCTAACAAAGCGCTTGTTAGCACTGTGCCGGTGCCTGTTCCTGCACTGGAATTGCTCTTAATGCCATCCCTCCCCAAAGAAGGTGCATAGTGCATTGTTTAACAAAAGTTAAAAGGGGTGATGACAGAGCCCCCGACCAATCCATTGCACCCGCCTTGGCTGGTCTGGCACCAGTGTGTTTCATAGCGTGGTTGACCAGATGGTCATTCTGCTGTTCAGCCATTTGGTCGATTTGCATATTATGCCTTTAAAATATATATATATATATATATATATATATATATATATATATATATATATATATTTCTTTATTGATTTC